TCTCAGTAGGCTATCACTTTTCCCTCCTACACAATTCCGGTAACAGTTGACCGGTCAAAAAACGGTTACAAGGTTGTATGACATGATGAAATTTGACCCGTAGAAGAGTCACGTTACTGCTCTCGCCCTGTTACCTTCTCTCCTAAAAAATCGACAAACGAAAGAAGATTGATTATTATTTAGCATGGAAAAATACGGTCCACTCACTTTTAAGAGGTATTCACACCTCGATGTTCTACTGTCTGAATCTCCAACAGATATGATATTTTCAAAGTTGTCCCCCTCTGCAGAATGAAGTTTATCAACGCTATCGCATGATACGGGGGCATTTTTCAGGAGTGATGGGGCAGCAATTCTGGGAAAAAGAACTATGCATCCTAGAGTCTCTCCTCTCCGCCTGAGGCTCAGTTCGATTTTAATAAAAGGGAGATGGCTCGCTCGGCTTTAAGGCCGTGCCACCACAATGCCTCTGTATTTTCCGGTAGCGCCGATTTATCTATTCATTCCCATTGGATGAGCTATACTGCTGTCACATGTAACAAAACAGTCGATACTGCAGTTCAATATTTCACAATTTTCACTGCCTCACGCAATAATCCTAATGATCTCAAAATTGTCTCGAGCAGGGGAGGGGTCAAAGCCAACCGCTCGTGCTTGGCTTTCTCAAAAATCTCTTTCTCTTTGTTGAGGGACCTTAATACACCACGTCATCACTCGTAAAGAGGTCATCTGAGTCTATTCCTTTCGCTTCCACAGACACTACTCAAGTTGTTCAAAAAACAATCATCTTCTTCAAACGTCAAAAATGCGTTCAACCTTCCCTACCCCGCCTGGCGCTACGTCCGTTTTGGGCACGGTTTAAGTTGGCGTGTAATCGGGATGAGGGTAACCTATTACCCTTCTCAACTACATTAAGTATCTGACCTCTCAAGAACTCTCTGAGCTTTGCAAAGAAAATTCTCATCTGCTGAGAAAGTTTCCTTTCCATGTGTAAGAGAAAAACGAACTCATTTTGCCAAATGCGTCCCTATCTTGGAATCGATGAATACCCTGCCTTTGTGTAATCCTACTGACCATGGATGCTAGTAGTTTGGGCTGGGTTAAAATACCTAGAAAACACAATCAGAAGTGTTGAGAGTGCATCCATACTACTACATTTTCGCTTACGTAAGTAAAGGGACCGATGGCCGCCAGCAAACCTGAACTAACAAACATTTCTGCGGTCATTCTTCGAATGGTCGCGCACTAGCTATTAAGCAGCCGCGGAGCCTCAGCTCGCTACTTTTCGCCTGCTGATGCACATGAACGCTTCACTACACTAGGACAGCTGAATATACCTGGGGTGACTTGCGGCCACCATACTTATTACCGCGTCCAATGAAAACTCATGTCATAATCGCCTCCATAATACAGATAAAATCCACCGGCTAGGTAAAAGTTGCATAGATGAATATAATGGAACTCAACCTTCAACTCTTCTAAGCTTATTATGTATAGAAAGAATATCGCATAATACCTTCGCAAAGCAGTACAAAATAATACAGTAAGTAACCGAACTGTGTAGGTATGGTACACACAGTAACAGCTAAAAAACCGGAAACTGAGGAAACGCACCGGATTCAAACGGCATATAACTTTTTGTCTTCAATCTCGTTCCGATCTGACCGACATGAGCCTCACCTGCGGGGCATACTAGATTACTCGAACGCGAAAATCATTTCATCCTGACCTATACTCCAGTTAGTGCTCAGCCCTATTTTTCGCCCCACTACCGGATAAACGAAGAATAAAACGCCTAACAACTAACACCCTGGTGACGTAGAAAGACCGTGAGGATGATCTTGACTAACTACCCTCAAATCTTAACAAGAATGATCTACAGAAATATGAACCGCTTTTATAAGACATTCTTTTGCCTTTTTATGGGGACACGTGCATGGGGCTTGAATCAGGCTTATTCTCTGAGCCGTTCTGATAATCTGCAATAATAGCAAAAGCGCGGACTTGTGATTCGATTCCTCTTGGTATTTTTGCTTCAACTACCAAGTGTAATAAATGGCTAAGGATAAAAGGATAAAGCATTTGCCGTTGATCAATCCCTTTTTGGGATGCGGCACGCATTCTACTTCCATTTGTACATTCGTAGTGGCGTTTGAATGCGATGTGGCCTATACAATGACTTGCGGGGGCCAGCCGATGTACAAGTCAGTGTCCCAGACAAGTCTGGTACCAATTAACCGACCCCGGAGGGATGGAAGGCTTGGTTGGCCCGGGCGACTCACGACCCAGGATTTGATCCCCGGACCGCTCGCGTGGTAAGCGCGCCACTTGCCACTACACCACTTCCGCTTGAACAACACTGATGGCTATCCAAATATATTACATACAAAAAAGAAAACAGCAAATATCGTTGACTACTTAGTGAATTTTTACCTGCAGTTCAATTTTCTGAATTACCTTTTTTGAATCATTAGTATGCCACGGGAGATCTCACCGGCAATCTGGTCGAAGTTTTGTCCAATCTTAAGGTGAGATGGCGTCTCTGGCCATTCAAACCCCATATCTGTGATGGACACATCCTTCTACAATGTGTCTGTGTTGATTAAACACTTTAAAAAATCGAATTTTAGATCTTAATTTGTTCTTCTTTGATTGTTAGGTGCTGTTTTTTACCACAGTTCACCATGCTTAAGTTGCTTATGAACTGCGAATCATTACTTGAAACCTGCGGTCTAAAACTTATTTTAGATCCCCCAAGTAAGCTACTCCTCGACTGGTGCTGAACTGAGCGAGAAGCCACGATTCGCCTATTTTTCCCGAGTGGTGCCTCCTGACAATCTCCAAGCACAAGTGATGGCACGAGTGGTAATTACGACTTATTTTTCTGACATTCTTGGCTCTGTCGGAAGACATGAGAGCAAAAAAGCAAAGAGTTTAAGCACGAGCTTGGTCACCCTCTTCCTTTTTACATACCATTTGCATAATCGTTTTGCTTACGTTATGACTTGTGGGGCCCAGCCAAGGTCTACTTCAATGTTTTCCACCCTTTATGAGGTGAATCCGCAGAGGGAGGATCTGAATGGCTTGGATGAGGGAGCTGATCAGCACAGAACCTTTCCACTCAAAGCAACAGTCCCAGCAGGGTTTTCACCTTCGACACTAATGGTGTGGAACGATGCGCTAGCCCTAGTCAAGAACATAAGAAGTGTGACTGAACAAAAAACTCACCTTGGAAAGCCGCTAGAAAGGAAGCTGAACAGCTTCGAAGTGGGCGTGGTTGTGCGTCCCCCTCGGCTGATTCAACGAAAAAAAAAAAAAAAAAAATAAAAAAAATAAAAAAAAAAAAAAAAAAAAAAAAAAAAAAAAAAAAAAAAAAAAAAAAAAAAAAAAAAAAAAAAAAAAAAAATACCCACTTCGAAGTGTTCGCCCCTTTCTAGCGTTTCCATTGATTTTGTTAACACTTCCTATTTTATTGACTAAAGCTAGCGCATCGGTTCCACAACCGTTAGATGGTCAAGTAAAACCCCCTCTGGACTGGTGCTTAAATCAGTACGAGCGAACGAATGGGCACGGCCAATAAACAGCTTGTGATAGACGGGCCGCTTTATCACTGCACACTCCCCTAACTATACATTATACACAATCAACTTCTATATCAGATAAGACGGGGTTGTTTTTGCGATTGCCTCTGTTGACAACCACCGTCATCATTTTTGGTGGCAAGACTTCCAAGCATAAACGACTCTCGCAGCTTAACATCCAACAGACTTGGAAAATGAAATAAATCTGATACGAATAGGCCTCCTAGATCCGCGCAGAAGATCTCTAATAGTAGCGGACCTTCTCATTGTACTTATTGGGGACCTTGGCCATAAGCACAAATACAAATGGTCGCTTAACTAAGTATTCTACGCAATTGTGGAGAACCTACAGGTCTTAGCGATTTTTTTGGAAGTTCAGCGTACTGGGTTAAGCCACCCAAACAAGACTTTCAACTCTACCATCCATTATGATCGTGAACATGGCGAACCATTCCAGTGCTATCATTTATCCGCAGATTACCGAAAATTGAAAAACAACATAAAAAACAAACACATAAAAAATCGGAAGAAAGCTACATAAATATCCAATGGTAAGCTTTATTTGCAGATTCGAGAATTGGACTGGACGTATGTGCATGCTATCGCCGATACTGGTTCCTATGGTAAGTATGTGCAACTTGAAAAATCTTCATTGTTATATCGCGATGAAATGCTTATGGTTAGTGCTTAAAAGTGTGAGCTACATATGTGGGGCTGGCTCTGGTCCATGTTTATGCCCTCTCAAATGGATCTCATTGCCTCGGTTTTTGATTTTCATTAAAGTAGCGACATATAGTAATTCCAAGAGCCAATCTTCCGAAATCTCAGCTCTACGTATTACTTAACCTTCATGAACCCTTCCTAAAAGAGTCGTATCTAACGGATTAGTTTGTGGAATTCTACTTCTCTCTTTCTGTACCATCGGCTTGTTTACGCTGAAACAGATTTCCTTAGTTTCGTATGAAGCATGAAAATTAGAGAAACACACGCGCAGGAAGCTCTGCTCGAGTTAGCCCCGCCCGTCACACAAGCTCCACCTAAACTCCCGAGTTATACATTTTAGCTACTGTTGTTAATTTTCGTAAGGAAAATCCAGAATATGCACTCATAAAGTGGGGCGTTCTGTGAATAAGACGGTTAAATCGAAACTTTGGATTGAAAATCCAGATTGGGGGAGGGGTGGCACTCCACTGTGCTTCCAAATACTTAAGATAAGAATGAGAGCGTATTGTGACACGTATTATTCGATCTTTCAAAGAGTACTTTGGGAGTACTCCTTAGGTGCTTCCATATTTGGTTTGCAATGGTCCGAGGAAATGGTCCCGATTCAGCGTAATGGAGAGCTTTGCCTCGGCCTTTGAGGTGGAGGAGCTCCAGGGTGGATGACCTGTGCAGAAAAGTGGATGGGATGTGGGCAGGTAGTGTGGAATGTAGGACATCCACCGGTCCTTATCAAAAGTACGCTCGAAATGAGTCGTTCACTTATTATCTTATCCGTAGTGTTCGATATCCAAAAGAAGCGCCTAGGACTAGGATACATAGCATACCAAGAAGCCAAGAAGTGCCCCCCCCCCGAACTGGATTTTCATCATTAGGATCATCTGAAATTAACGTGCCGGCCAACACTAAGGTACACTGAATCCGTTTTGGAGCTATTTTCAATTCACTAGAAATGAAGAGAGCCACAACACATGCTTTCGAATGTGG